AGAAGATGTGTAATAGCGCCCCCTACCGTATAACAGACAAAACACGGATCGAAGGAAAATTCTCTGTGGCGGGGAAAGGGTTAAGTCTTATTTACTGGGGGGAAATCATCAAAATTAAATGAGTTTTTGCTGAATTTTTAGATTTTGCACTGGAAAGCATACTGAGAAATACTGAGGAAGAGCATATTTGTATAGAGAGATTACGGGTTTTACTTTAAAACCTTTATTTGACTGTTCCTTATGTACATATGTACTTATTATAGTAATTACAATAACTAGGTACTAACCCTGAACCTAACCTTAACCCATGTTACATTAACCAGTGCTTTCTTAGGCAAGGACATACTGTAAAATAAAGTGCAACTGAATTGCGGTTTTTTTCTTTAAAAATCCAGGATTTTTGAAATAAATGTTTTTGGTACCACTTTATAAGGTCTTATTTCTTAATAAACTATCAGTGAGTAATAAAGCATTTGTTGATCTTTTTAACATTAGTTAGTAAATATCTAATAGTTCACCGTGCATTAACTATTATTGACAGATCCAACTTTTGATTCATGATAAATGAACGTATTAGTAAATGTTGAAATTAAGTTAATAAATGCTATAGAACTATTGTTCGTTCATCTAGTAAACTAATGTGAAGAAATGAAGCTGGTTGTATGTGTCCTGTGGTCTTCATCAGCTGGCTGCCCAACATCATCAATGAGAGTTTGCTGTTTTATCTGGAGATGCAGGACGATATTAAAGCCAGCGATCTGAAGAATGTTCGCAACGCCGCGCTCATCACGTGGTTCATCATGGTGAGGACAATATCAGATACCAATCAATTCCTGAAATGGAATGGTTTTAGGTATAAGGGACTAAACTAGCTCCAACTTCAGTTACTACTAGGGCTGTCACTTTACGTTCGAAAATCGATTGCACAATCGATCGGACCAACCAACACAAGGTTCGAAAACGAAAATAGGGAATCGATTCTAACAGCCTTTTATTTATTTTTTTTACCAAAAATGTGTTTTAGGTGGACAGATCAATACAGGACACAGAACATGTAGGATGCTGGAAAATAACAATGTCTTTTCTGTCACTTTTGTCAAAAAATCCTGTTAGTTTTTTGAGACACAAGTGTTCATTGAATCAATTGTCCATGTCTAAAGACGTTTCCATTTTCAACACCAAATACAGGCAAATCCACGGACAACTAACAGGCATTAGGAAGAGCGTAAAGAGGCTTGAGACGCACACAAGTTAGCAATATTCCTGATGATTTATTGGTGTGAAGTTTCAGCACAATGACAAACAGGAGCGACACATTCAGGGATTGAGATTAACGCCCTCGACCCGCCAGATGCGCGTACAAATGAACTTTGGCGGGAAACGCTGTCAAATCACGAGCCAATCTGGCGTGTTTCTGTGTTTACTCAGTTTGCTGGGGAAGTTCGTGTAAGACAAATCTGCGCGGATTTAGCGCAAATACGCAACTCATGATCCTCATGATATATTAAATACAGCGTATTGCACAGAATTTGCTCATTTCTGGCTTACTTGAACACACACGTCACTGCGCAACAAATAACGGCGCACTCGTTCACTTGCATTGAAGTAATAGCGAATATTAAAAAGCATTTGGTAAACAGAAAAGACATTATTTTGCAGCATCCTACATGTTCTGTGTCCTGTACTGATCTGTCCACCTAACACACATTTTTGGTTAAGAAAAAAAAGAAGCCTGTTAAAATCGATTCCCTATTTTCGTTTTCGATACTTGTGTTGGTCGGTCCGATCGATTGTGCAACCGATTTTCGAACGTAAAGTGACAGCCCTAATCATAATTGCTGCATTGAGTAAACCGTGAGCTGTGTGTCCTCAGGGGATCCTGAACCCGATGCAGGGCTTCTTGAACACGCTGGCGTTCCACGGCTGGACGGGTCTGGACCTGGACTTCAGTCGGCAGAGACGGCGAGAGCTGGCGTGGGATTCGGGCTCCACGTCTGCGGCGTGCGGATACACACCGACGGTGGGATCGACACTGATCTACCAGACTCACATTCAGGAGATCAAGAAGAGCCTGAGCGCTAACGGACAGCAGACGGCAGACGCCATTAGCGTGCCCTCCGAAGGTACCCACACGCCGGAGACACAACATCAGCCAATATCAAACGAACAGCGCTGACGTGGAAGCCAGGAGAAACACAAGTTACAGAAGCCTTGAAGTCCACAAATCACCAACATTCATCACGGATTAGTGTTGTCAAAAGTTCCGACTTTGAGCGGAATCATAAACACCTCTGATTGGCCGTTGTGTTCAAGAGCTCATCGGATATGTCTGTGATTGGCTACTGCTATCAACGCACACGGAAGTGTTTTAAAAAACAGGAGCGGGAGCTTTTGAAAGCACAGCGAACGCTCGCGTGTGTGTTAGCGCTCGCTGAAGAGCGTCATCGATGTATATTTACAACATGTTTTTGGAGCGCTGATCATTGTAGCCAATCATAGACATATTTGATTAACGCGTGAGCACATTGGCCAATCAGAGGTGTTTACGATTGCGCACAAATTTTTCAATACTGAAGTCCGTACTTTTGACAACACTAATCCATAACTGACAAAGCAAACAATCAGTTATTAATATTTGGTTGATTCTCTTGCATGTGTTCATAATTATGTTGCACAATCATTGCATTATTATTACTAATAAAACAATCGACTTAATAATATTTGAATCTATAATATTTAAATAAAGGGTGAAGATGTCAGTTAACGTCACTTTTGGACACTGGTGTAAATGTAATTATAATATTCCAACATCAGGGATGACATTAACTAGTCTTCTCCATCTTATCTCATAGATTCAGAGTCCAGTACAGTAGAAATCCACATATCCAGCGAACAGCGAGAGTCTGAGGACGTAAAGCCCAACGGAGCGTCTCTGGAGATTTCCACACGCTGAACGCTTTCATACGCTTCATCCCAACAGAACTGAGTCTTCATGCATTTCTACAATCAATTCATGCCAATGATTCTCTGGACAATCATTGCTGAAGATTATCATTCACAATATCAATGAAACTTTGATTTGAATCTGAGTATCAATGTTTGCAAACAGACTTATTTGTAATAAAAAACGCACTGTTTTAAGGATTTCACTGTAAAAATACAGTATTAATTTCCCAGCACACTTGTTACTTATGTTTTACTCATTTTATATTTCATTAAATTATACTTCATTTATACTGTCATTAGAGAATGTTTTTTATTGTTATATTTTTGACTTCCTGAATAGTGAAACAACAAAATCATTGTTTAGAGAAGATTTTAATTTAAGTAGTATTAATGCTTTAATATTAATAATTTAACTCTTTGGCAAAAACATCATAACATAAACTAGTGGTCAAAAGTTCATAATAAATACGATTACAATTAAGCTTCTTCTGATCAACGAAGCTGCATTTATTTAATCAAAAATACAGTAAAAATTGTGAAAGATTATTGCAATGTGTAAATCATCTGTTTTCTATGTGAATATATAGTAAATGTAATTTATTCCTGTGATCAAAGCTGTATTTTCAGCATCATTACTCCAGTCTTCAGTGTCACAAATCACTCTAATATGAGGATCTGATGCTCAAAAAACATTTATGATTATTATCAATGTTGAAAACAGTTGTGCTGCTTCAGACAAAAAAAAAAACTTAAATTATTCCAAACAAGTCATAGCATGCAATATGAATGAATCAAACACGACTGTTCGTAATATCAAAATAGAGTGATTTATTTGAGCCTCTGAATGCGAGACATTGAGATACAGTTTTGTCCACGAAACAGAGTTAAACTTTATACTTGGCAGAAGATACACGTCAAAACATGATGAACCGCAAGGATCTCGACGAGCCATGATTACAGTCTGACACAGACAATAAGGGCTTCCGGTTCCGGTGAAACGAGAAAACCCGCGTCATGAAGAAACGCGATGATTTTGATGCATCTCAAATAAATTCCTCATTAAACTAAACTTGGTTTCAATGAAATAATAAAAAAAGAAACGTCCATTTTACATTGTCAAACGCAGTACGAAATTAAACCCGCAGTGGCAGTTAAATAACGGACGATCGCGTCGGGAGAAAAGGCGCCAATCACAGTTTTAAAAGTTTACAGCAGGACTCACGTAACCGATCACCAGTCCCTGAGGGGTTAATAACGCGCGTGACCGGTCAAACACACACAGAGATCAGTAGATGGACATCATCCTGACAAACAGTCATGTTTCTGCTGCATCAAGTGTCCAAATCAGATAAAGTGATAATCTAGGGTTTATTCAAATAAAAGGTTAACATTTTTGCCGCTCATGTCAATAAGAAAAAGCGTCTTTTACCTTCTCATCCATGTGTGAATCCGAGTTTGATTTTTTTGACGGTTGGTTTGTATTTCTGCAGTGATGTGAGTAGCCCCGCCCACGCTGAAACCTCATTGGTCCAAACATTTGTGATTGACACGTCACATGTTCAGGTTTAGCAAGGAAGGCAAGGTTTTTATTCAACTTTATTTCATCTTTTGATTTTATTTCTTTATTATTGTTATTGTTTATCCTATTGTGTGCATTTGTAATTCCTTAGTAAAGATAGTACATCGACTCATTAAAAATCATTTAAAACACCTTTATTGTTTCATGTAAATTAGGATTTTGGACCAATGATATTTCACAGTGGGCGGAGCTTCCCAGCGCAGCGCCACAGAAAAGAAACCAATCAACAACAAAATAAGACAATTTTTTTTTTATTACTTGTTTTATCACATCGCACCCGATTCGGACACAACGTTGATGCATACAAGCATGAAGACCTGCACTAACTAAAACACGTCCCAGAATGCACTTCACCCACTTACAATAACAGATTTTGAGGCACGTATCCTGATAACATGCATCACAATCTCATGATAACGCGTTTGCTGCCGATCCAGCAGGCATGACGTCCACAAAATCAGAAAAAAACTAAAAGTATGAAAGATTGATTACTTTATAAACATATAAACACAGTTTATAAAATCTGTGGTCTCATTTACATCTTTACATTCATTAAATGTACATCCAGCGGGGAGATTATACACCTGTATATTTAATATCTGAGAATCAAACATATTCATATAATATTTTCCCAAGTACTCGGCGTCTTCATTCACCTCAGTATTACACGTTAAAGTTGGAAAACAATCAGGTTCTTGCACACGTGAAGCCTCGTATTGAATTAAAGGTTGTTAAAAAACTGTTTTCCGCAGTAAAAAAGCCCAACGAACATCAGCGGCGCTCAGCGATACTGATGCGTGACAAAAACATGCGATGAAACCTCTCAAAAGACACGTCTCCAGCTCTTCCACGTCGATCAACAGCACCAGCTGTTCGCTGACCGTCTCTAGTGGACGTTTCCCTCCAATTTGGTTTTCAACAATCAGATTCTGTTCCCGGATCTCAATCGACCGGCTCCACGGAAGAAACGAGTTCAGACGCGCTGAAGCTTTAGCTGCACAATCCAGCATCCGGGATTCAGCAAACGCTATTTCCGTAAATCAAGAACACAGACCTGGAAAAACAAGATGGGGTTTACACAGGGTTAATATCATTAATGAACACTACAACGATTAAAAACATTGGGTTAATATCATTAACAAACACTACAACTATTAAAAACATTGGGTCAATATCATTAATGAACACTACAACTATTAAAAACATTGGGTTAATATCATTAATGAACACTACAACTATTAAAAACATTGGGTCAATATCATTAATGAACACTACAACTATTAAAAACATTGGGTTAATATCATTAACAAACACTACAACTATTAAAAACATTGGGTTAATATCATTAATAAACACTACAACTATTAAAAACATTGGGTTAATATCATTAATGAACACTACAACTATTAAAAACATTGGGTCAATATCATTAATGAACACTACAACTATTAAAAACATTGGGTTAATATCATTAACAAACACTACAACTATTAAAAACATTGGGTCAATATCATTAACGAACACTACAACTATTAAAAACATTGGGTTAATATCATTAACAAACACTACAACTATTAAAAATATTGGGTTAATATCATTAACAAACACTACAACTATTAAAAACATTAGGTTAATATCATTAAAGAACACTACAACTATTAAAAACATTGGGTCAATATCATTAACGAACACTGCAACTATTAAAAACATTGGGTTAATATCATTAATGAACACTACAACTATTAAAAACATTGGGTCAATATCATTAATGAACACTACAACTATTAAAAACATTGGGTTAATATCATTAATGAACACTACAACTATTAAAAACATTGGGTCAATATCATTAATGAACACTACAACTATTAAAAACATTGGGTTAATATCATTAACAAACACTACAACTATTAAAAACATTGGGTTAATATCATTAATAAACACTACAACTATTAAAAACATTGGGTTAATATCATTAATGAACACTACAACTATTAAAAACATTGGGTCAATATCATTAATGAACACTACAACTATTAAAAACATTGGGTTAATATCATTAACAAACACTAAAACTATTAAAAACATTGGGTCAATATCATTAACGAACACTACAACTATTAAAAACATTGGGTTAATATCATTAACAAACACTACAACTATTAAAAATATTGGGTTAATATCATTAACAAACACTACAACTATTAAAAACATTAGGTTAATATCATTAAAGAACACTACAACTATTAAAAACATTGGGTCAATATCATTAACGAACACTGCAACTATTAAAAACATTGGGTTAATATCATTAACGAACACTGCAACTATTAAAAACATTGGGTTAATATCATTAAAGAACACTACAACTATTAAAAACATTGGGTCAATATCATTAACGAACACTGCCACTATTAAAAACATTGGGTTAATATCATTAAAGAACACTACAACTATTAAAAACATTGGGTCAATATCATTAAGGAACACTGCAACTATTAAAAACATTGGGTTAATATCATTAAAGAACACTACAACTATTAAAAACATTGGGTTAATATCATTAAAGAACACTACAACTATTAAAAACATTGGGTTAATATCATTAAAGAACACTACAACTATTAAAAACATTGGGTTAATATCATTAACGAACACTACAACTATTAAAAACATTGGGTTAATATCATTGACGAACACTACAACTATTAAAAACATTGGGTTAATATCATTAAAGAACACTACAACTATTAAAAACATTGGGTTAATATCATTAACGAACACTACAACTATTAAAAACATTGGGTTAATATCATTAACGAACACTACAACTATTAAAAACATTGGGTTAATATCATTAAAGAACACTACAACTATTAAAAACATTGGGTTAATATCATTAACGAACACTACAACTATTAAAAACATTGGGTTAATATCATTAACGAACACTGCAACTATTAAAAACATTGGGTTAATATCAATAACAAATTACCTTGGAATTAGTAACTAATTTGGAATTAGTTTTAGATTATGTTTAATTAGATGTTTTGAGAAGGCGAACGTACCGATCCATCGGACCCGCTCGCTCCGACTTTATCTCCCAGACTGTTCCAGCAAACCTCAAATATTCCTCCGGTTCCCCTGTAGCTGTTCACCAGCGCACCGCTCTGAAGAGACACGTTCATCATCATCATCATCTTCATCATCATCATAATTATCATCTTCATCATCACCATCATCATTATTATCATCTTCATCATCACCATCATCATAATTATCATCATCTTCATCATTACCATCATCATCTTCATCATCACCATAATTATCATCACCATCTTCATCATCATCTTCATCATCATCATAATTATCATCACCATCATCATCACCATCTTCATCTTCATCATAATTATCATCACCACCATAATTATCATAATCATCACCATCTTCATCATCATCATCATCACGCGTTATATACAGTGTTGTGGAAAGTTACTTTGAAAAGTAATGCATTACAATATTGTGTTACTCCCTTAAAAAGTAACTAATTGCGTTACTTTTTTAGAAAACTTTTTTTATAGCAAAAAAGTTCTATTTTTGGGCAAATGTAAAGACCCTTTCGCTGTTTCTGGATAACTGAAGAATAAGATGCAGGAGAAAAAAGTTTAACGCTTACTTTAACAATAAAAACTAAAAAATCTATAGTAATTTTTGCTTATGGTTTAAGTGAATCATCGAAAGTCAGAAGCAAGTACACTGGTCAATAAAGTGAGATTAAATGCATAAAAATATATGTTTTATTTAACATATTTAGTTATTCGAGGTTTGCATAGTATTCAGATTCTGCATTTCACTGATTTCATTAATTTTGAGGAATATTGAATCTCTTTTTTTGTGCAAGTGAGATGAGTAAATGCACGCTCACATTTAGTCTAGAACTACAATAACCATCATGTTCACACACACATACACACACACACTACTTATTTGGAAAAGTAACTCAGATATTTTGTTGTAAATTTTAAAAGTAATGCGTTACTTTACTAGTTACTTGAAAAAGTAATCTGATTACGTAAAAAAAAGAGATAATATAAAATGTAATGCTTTTTAATGCCATTTAAGGCCTTAATTTTGGCAAAAATCCATTAAATGCTCTTTAATGCCCGTGGAAACCCTGTAAAGCGGCTGCGCTGTGGCACTGACCAGTGTGTCCCAGATGTGAACGCATTTGTCGAAGGATCCGCTGGCCAGGAACTTTCCGTCGGGACTGAAGGCCACGCTGTACACCGGCTCCTGGTGTTTGGTGAGTGTGTGGATGCATTCGCCTCGATCCACATCCCATAATCGCACCGTCGAGTCGAAAGAGGCACTGAGGAACATACACACACACATTTGTTTGGACCAGGGGTTTTCAGATATGATCATCCTCGTGTGAGGCATCTACAGTTTCTGATGGAAGCTCATTTACACCACAGAATAAAAACATTTTAAAAGATAATTGTGACTTTCTATCTTGCAATTGCAGATTCAAATTAACAACAAAAGTGACTTTTTATTTCACAATTCTGACGTTTTTCTTCAGAATTGTGTTATAAAGTCCAATTCTGAGGAAAAACTACTTTTTTTCTCAGAATTGCAAGTTTACATCACGCAATTCTGAAAGAAAAAAAACAAGAATTGTGAAATAAAAAGACGCTTTAGTTACTTTTTCTTTTATAATCTGGCGGAAACAAGCATCCATAGTTTCTTCTATAAAACAACCAATTTATACTCTGAAAAAATTTACATTTATTTGAATCTAATTTAATATATCAAATTTTTATTTATTGTAATATTTCATTTTTATTTATTGACTTGTTTATTTATTTTAATCTAATTTAATATAATTCATCTAATTGTTATTTATTCTAATTTAATTAATTTATTGGAATAATTTAATTTATTGGAATAATTTAATTTAATATAATTTAATATATAATCTAATTTTTATTTATTGTAATATTTCATATTTATTAATTGACTATTTATTTTAATCTAATTTAATATATATCATCTATTTTTATTTATTTATTTGACATGGACATACAATTACATTGGACGAACCATATGCATTTGTTTAAGTGTTTTAGCACAAATGCTAATTTTCAACACCTGTCCACGGGAGGCTTTTGGAAATAAAATACAATAACAAAACTAGTAAGCAAAATAATACTAAAAATACTAACAGAAAAGGATAGCTAAAATATACCATATAATTACAGAGAAAAGAAAAAACAAATTGCATACATAAATTATAAAGCAGAAGCATCAGAGTCAGAGAATATCATTAGTCATTCATGCGAGCACTGCTGTTTAGTTTTTTACTTTATTGTAATCTAATATCTATTTACTTAAATAAGTGTAAAAATTATTCAAATAAATTAATCTAATTTAATATATTTCTTCAAATTTTTATTTATTGTAATCTAATATGCATTTACTTTAATCTAATTTATTGGGGGAAAAATTACATTTATTTTATTATATTTAATTATTTTAATATATTCTAATAATTTTAAATTTATTTTTATTTTATTTAATACATATAATCAAATGTTGTGTTTATTTTTATTTTTATTAACTTATTTGAATAATTTTTACACTTATTTAAAAATTATTTAACATATTTAATCTAATTTTTATTTATTGTAATCCAATATTCAATTTTTTTGTTTATTTATTTTAATGTAATTTATTGGAATCATTTTTACATTTATTTTATTATATTTACTAATTAATCTATATAAATATAACTGTATTATATTGATTTAATACAAACAGTATATAAGTGAATGTTTTGTTTATTTATTATTTTAATTATTTATTTATTTTTTACACTTTTCCTAACTTCTACGACACACTCATTGTTATGAATGGTAGGAAGTGCAACGCGCAATATGGCGGAATAAGCCCCGCCTTCTAAATAAAAGAGCCAATCACTGATTGATGATGTCATCGCGTCGCTGCAGCTCCGTTAGAAGCTTCTGTTGCTATAAAACGTCAGTGTTTCTGAGACGCGCACTGAAATATTAGCTTTTTTAATGCTATTACCTGGCTAGCAGGAGGCTAGCGTTGGGACTGCTGCTCGCGGGGCTCCATTTGATGGTGTAGATCTCTTTATTGTGCGCTTCAAGGTTGTGAACACATGAATCATGCTTCATACTCCAGATCTGCCGCGAGAGAAACGTGTCAGTACAGTCTAAATATGATCATATTTAATATTTCATCATGACTAATAAAAAAAAGGTGTATTCTCCCTAATCAGAGTTGGTAGATAAAACTAAATATTTAACCCTCATCCTTCCCTCGGGTCATTTTGATCCGTAATTTGTATTTTAATTTTTTATTAAAAAAAAAATCATTAGGTGTTCATAGGACTTTTTTCCCACTTGAACCATGAACACACACACAAAAAAAATGGATTCGAGGAGAAATAAAAAAAAGTAACAAATCGGGTCAATTTGATCCCCATAGTATGAATGGAATGCGAGGAATGCTTCAGTGCACGTAGAAAAACCTAAAAATGTTAAAAATTCAAACTAATAATGCTAAAACTTTATCAAAAAATTTGTTTATGGTGTCTACATGTGTTACTGAAGGCCATCCAGTGGCAAGAGTCATGAAATATCATGTAATATTATTATTTTTCCACAAGAGGTCGGCAAACAATCCCATTGTAAGATATTGTGAGCTGAATTAAAAGGCTTATGCATGAAATTGTGAGCTATTTTAAATTTAAGTTGAAAGAATGTGAGGAATGTGCTTAAATTTTACTATTTATTGATTATTTATTGATTAAATCTAGTAATTTAAAGGTAAATATAATTAAAAATGTAAAAAAAAATTGCATTAAAAAATAGAAAATATCAAAATGAAATAAAATAAGCTTTCTGAAAAAAGAATTAAGTATAATTTTAGGGCTGCGGGTCATTTTGACCCTCGAGGGAAGGATTTGTTACAAAATGCGAGGGAATATTAGCAGAAAATGCCAAATAATTCCCACCTTTAGCGTCATGTCATCCGAACATGAAGCCAGCAACATTCCCGACGGATCCCATTTAATGGCGTTCACTTCATTCTGAAAGCAAACAAACACTGAGTTCATCTAGTGTGTTACGCTCAAGGACAGGTAAACTCAGTAACACTTTACAATAAGATCATTAGTTAATGTATTTACTAACATGAACTAACAATGAGCAATACATTTGTTACAGTATTTATTAATCTTTGTTAATGTTAGTTAATAAAAATACAGCTGTTCATTGTTTGAACATGTTAGATCACAGTGCAGTAACTAATGTTAACAACACAACCTTTGATTTTAATGACGTATTATTAAATGTTGAAATTAGTATTAACTAAGATTCAATTAAACTCAATTCACATTTATTTGTATAGTGTCTTTCACAATACACAACATTTCAAAGCAGCTTTACAGAAAATGCATGAGTCCACGTTATCATGATCTGTTATCAGAGGAAACTGTCTAAAAGTTATGCATTTCAGAAATGTAAAAGATAGATAAATTATTAATTTAAACAATGTAATAATTTAAGGCAGAAACAATGAGCTCATTGAAGTAATGAATACTTGTTTGTTAACATGATTAAGATTAATAAATGCTGTAGAAGTATTGATCATTCTTAGTTCATGTTGACTAAGATAGTTACCTAATGAAGTTTATTGTAAAGTGTTGAACTGTTAAACTCTAGTGTTTAGCCCTCGCCTGCTCACCGTGTGTCCTTTAAAGGTCTTGAGTGGACGCTCACTCCCGAGTCGACACACGTGTATGCACATGTCCGTACTGCACGAGGCGAACGTGGTGTTATTCTGCCAGTCCACGTCCAGTGCCGGAGCTGCGGGAAACACCAAAGATGCTTTATTATATTATGTGTTTTATCACACAGTATGAATGAATGAATGAGGCATTTATATAGCGCTTTCATATGTACTACTATACACCCAAAGCGCTTTACAATCATATCAGGGGTTCTCTCCTCAACCAGCACCAGTGTGCAGCATCCACTTGGATGAAGCGACGGCAGCCACAGTACAACGGCGCCAGTGCGCTCACCACACACCAGCTATAGTTGGAGAGGAGAGAGCGTGATAGAGCCAATTCAGTGGATGGGGATTATTAGGAGGCCATGATTGGCAGGGGCCAATGGGTGGAATGTGGCCAGGACAAGTAGGCTTGCTACGATAGTTGGTGTTGAAAGTGTTACCGGTGTTCAAGAGCAGAGAGTGCTGTCATTTGCTGACGGAAAGCATGAAACTACCATAATAAGCCGTATATTGCTGAAAAGCGCATGTTGTCTACTGTCAGGGGCAATTTGAATGGTTTTGATAGTGCAAACGATTGAAGAGTTACGATGCAATGAATACAGCTTGCTGGTCTGTGTCGGCGACGACACAGCCGGTTCTAAAGTGTTAAGGTAATTTGTCATTGTACTGTATTGTTGTTGTGTTTTTCATTAAGAATAATAGGCTAATAAACTCACCATTTCAAGCAATTCACACCGGAATTGGCACTAATTTGAAAGCGAAACTAAAATGCGCACACCTTCATACCAATGTGTGTCCACGGCGAGAAGCAAGCGTTTTAAGTTCATTACTATCCATTGGCATTCATTGAAAATGCTCGCTCATAATGAATACCCGTGCGGACATGCGCATTTTAGTTTCGCTTTCAAATTAGCGTTTTAAAAGCCTCCATCGGTGACACTGATTAACCGGTGGGAAAAATATCCTCTATCAGACAGGTGATCAACTGTTCGGATGCCTTTATCAGGTTAGTCTTATGGTTTGAATCTCGTTTTCGTGATTTACTGGGAGTTGTACAACCCTATTCTGGTCAAGTGATCAAACGTAACTAACAAAGTTCATGTTCAGGGAAGGAGGAGGCGAACGTTAAACGTAGCTTTAATTGTAAAATAATCATCAAAACAAAAGAAGTGGTAGCGGCCTACAAGCATAATAAAACCAGCAATGTAAAATACCTCTTGCTCCGTTTTATACCACAGTAGCATTAATAAACTTTAATACATTAGTAGTGGTGGGGGAAAAAAACGATTCTGTTCAGTATTGCGATATTTTGCGCACGCAATTATATCGATACAGTAGCGCAAAGTATTGCAATATTTAATTATAAAATGATCTGTTTTACTTTACAATAAAATGATCGGGTTTTCTCCATTTGTTTTCTCTGATAATTTACATTTGCGTATTACATCCACAAGATGGCGCTTGTTGCGGTGCTTTGTTGTCGTGCATTCAACAGCAAAATCAAATGAAAATGGCTTCACCATCACAACCAGCTGAACGCGACGCTCCGTCTTCTTTCAAATCGAAAGTGTGGGTAAATGTCGGTTTTAATCCAAAAGCGTGTAGTAAAAACCTTGACATTATTTGTGATTATTCCCAGGTTTATGTTACTCTATTATGTCTGCTTTATGTTACTCAATTGTATTTAAATAATTTTAAGTTATGTGCTGGGAGCTCAGCATTCATGTGAGAGGTCTCCAATTCAGAGAATGTCCTGTAATAATAATAATAATAATAATAATAATTACGTCCTGTCCTGTAATGAGGTCCTGTGTCCTGAATGTTCAAGGACAAATTTGTTGCACTATCCTCCTAAGTTTTTGCACTTCAGTTAATGTGTAGAAGATAATGTTCACAGAATTAAATGTGACATTTAAAGTGAGTTGAGCAGTCTTATTTTCTACATTTTTTATAATGCCTTTGAATAATATGAGGGACATGAATCGCAATATATCGCAGAATCGAATCGCAATACTTGCTGTATCGCAAAATGTTAAAAATCGCTCAAATATCGCAATACTATCGAATCGTCACATTTTTGCCTTTTCCCACCCCTTTACATTAGATCACAATAAACACAAGTATATTCACAGAGTCATCTGTTATTAGGGTTGTGAATCGAATACTTGTTATACAATTAAAGTTTTGATTATCGATTCCTTTGTGAGCATTTCAATATGACTTTAAACCATTCAAGCGCAAGAGACTGTTTTCTGTTCTCATGTGTATCAGTTATTGGATCTGTGCAGCTCTTAAAGGGACAGCACTAATATTCCTGCAGTCTCTATAATAACACTAATCAAACAACAGAAGACAGAGAGAAAAATTTACTCGTTCTTGACTGAATACCTTTTGTGACTAAATTTGTAATGTATATTTTATGTATAAAGTGCAGTGTTATTTTACATTTGATTAGTTTCTGTCCCTGAAAATCTTAAAACCCTGTTTATTTCAATCGTATCTTTGTTCGGTTGTATCCATTTGTACGTTTGCTATTTTTTTATTTGTTCCTTTTTAATTACTGAGTGTTTACTTGTCTTTAACAATGCTTGAAATGTATATTAGTTAGGCTAGTTGTTTTTCTATGGTATTTTTAAACCACAGGCAAACGTTCCTTGTGTAAGTGTTCTTTAGCTTGTTGATTTTTGTTAATGATATTCAGCAAAAATTAAATGTTTTGCAATAAGACTAAATGTGAATGATATCTAAGTTTTTTATTATTACCTTATTGGAAACGAAATTAGGAATCGATAAGCAGAATCGAAATCATAATCATTAAAATTCAAACGATACCCAACCCTACATGATTAAAACTCTGTGACCTTTGACATCTGACCTATACGCACCAGAATGAACTCACCAGAATGAAAGGGGAACTGCTGTTTGGCTTCGCCTGTATGTGCATCCCAAATGATTGTCGTCTGCAGAACGAGAACAATTGAACAACTGATTATAGGAAAAAAGCCAGGGAAAAATCTCTCCATCTCAACACTGTAAAGCCTGACATATGTTCCGTATCATATTTGATCCATCAGACTTTTAGTCTGATATAGTGCAAATATGGAGCTCAGTTTTATTCAGAGGCTAATATAATCTAATATTTATTTATTTAATTCCTTTAAAAAACTAAACAAATTTATTTGAATCATTTTTACACTTATTTTAATCAAATGTAATATATTTCATCTAATTTTTATTTTATTCAAATTATTTTATTAAAAAAGCCTGATCATATTTAATACTTTTCTGATAAATAATGTCTGGATAATCAAGTTGAAATATTACTTGCAATATCAAAGTTATTCTTACGTTTACTTGATAATAATCAGTTCAGATTTACAGACACGTGAAGCTCGAGCTGAAGGAGGATGTTTGTACAGTTAAAGAGCTTTTACCTGATAAAACAGTGTAAACTATCAATCACACACAGAAGACTGGAGAGATCGTGTTTCAGGATTAATGCATTGTGCAGCTCAATCAATAGAGCTGGGTTTGATTCCCAGACTAATTGCATAAACTAATCACATAGACATTGAATGCAATGTAAGCTGCCAAATGCATAAGTGTACATGTGTAAAATACACATAGAGATTCACCTTGTCGACTCCAGCGCTCAGAATGCTGTTGCCTTTCTTGTTCCACTTCAGTGCAAATATGGGTCCTTTGTGTTGGCCAAGTGTGCTACTCAGATTACCTGTTAAAACACCAGATAACATCAGTCTCTTGTGAGATTCATCAGCTCCCAGTGTTAGCACACTTACCGTCTTTTGTCCAAATTCTTGCAAATCCGTCATAAGATCCAGTCGCCAACAGGGTGCCTTCGCTCTACAGACACACACAAAGAAAATAATCAACTGTAATGAAACATTCACCATCATATCCAGGGTCTAAAATTCATTTACCAAATGAGAGTAAAAATATACTTAAATAAGTGATTTAAATAATGATTTACTGGGAAATACAAGAGTTTAAAACTCAATGCAACAACAATAATCTGATCACTGGATCTTCATGTTCTTTGTTGTTTCATGAAGCATGATCCACATTGGGAAAACAGCTCAATATTTGATATGCAACAAGAATAATATATATATAAATTTAATAATTATGATGATTATGGATTACAGCTTATGAAAAGCTTTTCACAATATTCTAATTTTGACTTTGAGGTTTTCATAAGCTGTAAGACATAATCATCAACTTTTGTACGATATTCTAATTTTTTGAGTTTCACCTGTGTATAATATGCATTGTATAATATATATAAATTTAAGTCCACAAATCAGCAACATTCACCCTGGATTTAATGTAGTAACACTAAAGGTCCGAAATTTTCGCACGTTAAAAAATAAATACGACCTCATGTTTTGTCAATCACGCTTACACTCATCCGTCATAAAAATATTCGGATCGGATTTGATTTTCTGCGTTCTTCGCATCCGTAGCAAGCATTTTGAATGTTGTTTTGACAATTCAGAGCCACCGAATGACGAATACAAAAAAACTACACATCTTTTTTCCAGCTATAAACTATAAATCATATTTAAATGTTATTTTAATTATTCTTGTTCATCCTTCAAAGATCGTCCCCATTTATAAAACGAAAAGTTTCAAGATGTAGGAAAACTCACACTTATTTAAAAAATAAAGTAAAAGATTAAATTACAATTGTAAACAGTGCGATGCTTATTGGCCATTTTCACTCCCTAATATCTATTTTTTCACTCGTTTTGCTTTTTAATAGTTAATATTTAGAAATTACGAATGATAATAAATAAAGTTAATTTGATCTACACCTCACATTAAGCTCAGTGCTTTATTGTCAGCCACAAGGTGTTACCAATTACTTTCTGTAGAAAGTGCCGCCCTCAAATGTTAGTCTGGATAATCGTTATCGAGAAAATCCCAGACAATATTGAGATATAATTTTTGGTCAACATCGCACACCCCTGGGCCGACACACTCACGTTCCAGTCTAGCGAGGTGACGTCCTTGTTGCTGGGAACGTCTTGTCCTCCTTCTCGGATGCAGTGTCGCAGGACCAGCTGAGCCGAGCCGCTGTTCTCATTCAGGTTCCATATGCGCGCCGTCGAGTCGCCAGAGCTGCCGAAACACAACACACCAATTACACCTTAGACTGAAAAATAGTTTTAGTGAGAGTTTTACTTATCCATTTATGCATTTGGCAGACGCTTTTATCCAAAGCGACTTACAATGCATTTCAAGGTACACATTTTTACAATCTTATCAGTTCTTGCTTTCCCTGGGAAATCGAACCCATGACCTTGGCGTTGCAAGCACCAACTGGGGCTGTCACTTTTGTTAAAAAATTCTGCTTGATTTTTGAGACATAAGTGTTCATTGAATCGATTGTAAAATCGATTTTCCATGTCTAAAAACGTTTCCATTTTCAACACCAAATACAGGCAAATCCACGGACACTTAACAGGCATTAGGACGAGCGAAAGAGGGCGCTTGAGACACACAAGTCATCAATATTTCTGATGATTTATTGGCATGAAGTTTCAGCACAATGACAAACAGGAGCGCAACATTCAGGGATTGAGATTAACACCCTCGACCCGCCAAATGCGGGTACAAATGAACTTTGGCGGGAAACGCTGTCAAATCACGAGCCAATCTGGCGTGTTTCTATGTTTACTCACTTTGCTGGGGAAGTTCGTGTAAGCCAAATCTGCAAGGATTTAGCGCAAATACGCAACTCGTGAGTCCTCATGATATATTAAATACAGCGTATTGCAGAATCTGCGCATTTCTGGCTTACTTGAACACACACGTCACTATGCAACAAATAACGGCGCGCTTGTTCACTTGCATTGAAGCAATAGCGAATATTAAAAACCATTTGGTGAACAGAAAAGACATTGTTATTTTCCAACATCCTACATGTTCTGTGTCCTGTCCACCTAAAACACATTTTTGGTAAAAAAAAAAAAAAAAAAAAAAAAAAAAAAAAAAAAAAAAGGCTGTTAAAAATCGATTCCCTATTTTCGTTTTCGAAACTTGTGTTGGTTGGTCCGATCGATTCTGCAATCGATTTTCGAACGCAAAGTGACAGCCCTAGCGCTAACGCTCTACTGTTTGAGTTACAGGAAAGCATATTATCCAGGATATCCAGCATATTACACAGGAAAGCATATTATCCACTTAATAACACCATCTCAGAAACATTGAGCCCCTTTGAGGTCAGAGATATCAGGCTTAAATATTGAACAACTTGTTTAGATTTATGGCTTTGATTTTCTCAGTTTTAGAGTAAAACATGTTTTTGAAAATATGTATTTCATATAAAAATTTGAAATATAATATTTTTGCACTTTTTTTATAACAATAAACATAATTTTTTTTTTTACTTTTTTAAGATCACTTTTTAAAACTGCCGTAATACAATAAACCAATTATACATAATAGACAGAAAAATGGTTTTAGTGAGAGTTGTACTTGTCCATTTTATAACACCATCACAGAAACCTTGAGGTCAAAGGTCAGTAGGGTTGTGTATCAACAACCGGTTCCATTTTACAACCGGTAACAAATTTCCAAAAACCGGGGATTCGATAAGACTAGGGGTGTGCAAATATATTTAAATTTTTGAATATTCGATCTGTAATTATTATTCGAAAAATAAAATACTATTCTAATTTTGCTACATTGCTTTACTGGCCGTAAATACAGTGAATCCATGATAAATCCCAAGCACTAACTCACAGTTATAAGTAAATGCACTGGGTGGCGCTGTGGAGCGTGTTAAGTTGATTGTACAGGTGAAACTTGAAAAATTTTAATATTGTGCAAAAGTTATTTCAGTAATTCAACTTAAAATGTGAAACTAATATATTATATAGACTCATTACATGCAAAGTGAGATATTTCAAGCCTTTATTTGTTATAATTTTGATGATTATGGCTTACAGCTTATGAAACCCCACATTCAAAATTAGAATATTGTGAAAAGGTTTTCAGCTGTAAGCCATAATCATCAAAATTATAACAAATAAAGGCTTGAAATATCTCACTTTGCATGTAATGAGTCTATATAATATATTAGTTAATATTTATTTATTAACATGTCTAATCGGCTAGATGCAAAGAATGTGGGAAATCAATTAAAGACACCGGAATAAGCGGAATCGCTGAACCGATAGTCGACCCTAGAGGTCAGAGGTCAGCTCACCCTGAGGCCAAGAGGTCAGTGACGGGGTTCCAGGCACAGATGAAGACCTCGGACTCGTGACCCCGCAGAACCGTGGCTTTACTGGCAGGAATCTGGGCCTCGTCTTCCACATCCATGGCCTCCACATGGTGATCTGACCGAGAGCAACACACACACACACACACACACACATTGTCCGGCTCAGTTCAGTTCTAGTACAATAGTGTCAATGCAGGCAGATCAATAATATTGTTTAATATTAAATCAAATGACTCACTAAGCATGTGTGTGCCGTTCTCCTCCCCGTTGAGAGCGGTCTCTCCGTTCTTCATGGCGTGCGACTGAAGAGAGTTGCTGGAGTCCATGGCTTGTTGTTGTTGTTGTTGTTGTGAGAGTTTGTCTCTGATGGCCTGTTTTCTGGTGTGAACCACGTCTGGCATCACGGCGTCGATGAGCGACAGACACTCGATCGGCCGGCCGTCGAACACAGTGCCATCCTGAGAGATTCACACACAACTTTACAATCACACACACCAAATCTGGAGCAAATCTGAGAAATATCCTGAGAAAAAAAAAAAGAGCAATCCTTTGGGAAGTACTTATATTTCTTCATGGTTCAATGATGAAGTTTTGTCATCATTTTAAAGATAGTTTTCAAGATATTATAGAGCTTGGCGTAACTAGTAACTAGTAACTGGAAAACACTGCCATCCTTAAAGATTCACACACAACATTACAATCACACACCATCAGGGTGTGAAATTAACACACGCCGAATGGTTGGTTGAGAACTAATGCAGATGTGGACTGAGAGAGTGTGTGTGTGTGTGTGTGTGTGTGTGTATGTGTGTGTGTGTGTGTGTGTGTGTGTGTTCCGGTGAGAAGACCAGTAGTTACATATCTGCACTTTTATACTGTTCATCCAAAGCATCACTGAAATATTACAATATTTTTGTTTATTTAATTTACAAGTTAAGTTCTGTATTATTATTCTCTCTTACTGTTATATGAAACTATTGCAAGTGTTTTTCATTGCAGTTATTTTTTTTATTAAAAAAATATTTCCTTGTTTATTCATTACTTTATATAACAGTTCCCTATGTAATATATCGCGTTTCACCGTGTTGATGCTGATCTCGGCCTCAACGTACTGAAGGTCTTTCTGCAGTTACAATATATATATGGCTATGGCTATATAATGGTTATATATATATATATATATATATATATATATATATATACACACAGATACAGGAGAAACTCGAAAAATTAGAATATCATGCAAAAGTTTGTTTATTTCAGTAATTCAAATTAAAAGGTGAAACTAATATTTTTAGTATGTACATATGCATGATTATACTTTTCAGAGGGCCGACATTTCTGTATTTAAAATCCTTCTTTTTATTGATTTCATGTAATATTCAAATTTTCTGAGATTTTGAATTTGGGGTTTTCATAAGCTGTACGCCATAATCATCAAAATTATAACTTTTGCACGATATTCAAATTTTTCGAGTTTGACCTGTATATATATATATATATATGATGTTTCACCTCGTTGATGCTGATCTCGGCCTCCACGTACTGAAGGCCTTTCTGCAGGACTGAGATCAGGGCCGCCGGGGGAACCAGAGCCCCGTTGATGTTAGACTGGCTGATGTGAGACTCGATGCCGAACGTGAACGCCGAGTGAGAGAAACCTGCAGCACACACACAAGAGGACACTGGGTTACCTCTTTATCTGCAATATACAACACACGGATCCACGCTGTCCCATATTGTCCACCTTTCTGGAGTTTAATTGTAGGTTTTGATGTCCTAAAGAATATATATTAGTGGTATAAGTACCATAAACCATCCCAATACATGTTTACAGCTCCTGTCTCAGGAGCTCTGCAAAGAACAGGTCGATTTTGACCTCGTCTAATTAATATTCATGAGCCTCTCTTCTGATTGGCCTGTTGTTTCCTGAGTGACGCACGGCCAGGCCAACCACAGGTGACCAGGCTCATGTGTGCTGTGGCTTGGTGATGCTCACACGTAAACACCTGTAATGACGGACATTGCTGAGGGAAATGTTACTTACTTACTTTCAGCGTTATTGTAAGAGTTTTATAATTACCATTACATCAACGCTGCACGCAGATTCAACGTAACCGCTGATTTAAACTGTCTGTAAACAAACTCAGACTTTTGAAATAACGTTACCCAATCAAACTCGTACGCTAAACGTTAGTTTCTGTTAGCAAAGTGTGAACTCAATCTCATCGTCTTTAACTCAATATAAACAACAGGACCGGTGTCGGTAACTTGTTTGCAACAGATATTCTATCAAAGCTTGTGGCAACCACACAGTAAAAAACATATTGGTTGGCTTATCTTAAAAAAGTAAGTTGCCTTAAAATTGTGAGTTCATTGAAATTTTAAAAAAATGGGTTTAATAAATAGAAACTCAAAATATTATGTTATCTGAGCCACATTAATAATCTAAGTTGAATTGACAAAAGATAAAAAATTGTGATAAATCATGAAAATATTATTTTACAGTGAGACTGTACAAAACAGTGTTGCATATCCGTTTACAAACTTTAATATCAGATTACGCTGGCTCCATAATGACTTTATTCAACTCTTCATGTTCTTCTGTGTGGGCCTCGAGTGAGTACTCGTAGTGTAACAGCGCAGCGCTTCTGGGCTGTACGTCAGAACGCAGGCTCGCTATTGGCCAGCGTCACACGCATCACCAGCGTCGGCCAATAGTGAGCCTGCTGTTATTTAGGGCGCTATAGGCTAAGAATTCTATGTTGAATGAAATGTTTAAATGAAAGTGTTTCTTTCTAAAGCTACTTTTTGTAATGTCTATTTGATGTTTTTCTCATTATCGAAAATAATAACTTTAAATTATCTTTTGGGCGTAATTTCTCAAATATATGTATATATGTATATATATATATATATATATATATATATATATATATATATATATATAACATACACACTGCCGTTTAAAAGTTTGGGATCGGTAAGATGTTTTATGTTTTTAAAATAAGTTTATTTTAAAATAAGGCAGTGTGTGTCTCAAAGCCTGTCTGCACCTGTTTTCTTTTGGCTGATCTATGTCATCAGTAAATCTGCTTAAACACACTCTCTCTCTCTCTCTCTCTCGTTCGTCCATCAAAAGTTGATGATGACCATGGCACGTTTGTCATTTTGTACACACACACACACACACACACACACACACACACACACACACACACACACACACACACACACACACACACACACACACACACACACACACACACACACACACACACACACACACAGTGTTTACCTGACTCCTGCAGATATCTGTACACCAGAAAGTTGACTTCATCGCTGGTAATGCTCATCTTCACTCAGCTCAGAGGAGGCGCGCCCC